TCTACTTTCTTACTGGCCGCCATGTATGAGCTTTTGAAGAGACCAAAAATAGCAAAGGGATGCCTAGGTGGGGTGGGGCAGAAACAATTATTTGGGATTTTTTTTTTCCTTTAAAGTACAATCACTGTGGAGCAAAGTGCAACATATTTGTTCTCCAAAGAAATCCACCCCTCCAACCCCAATCTGACCCAGATCTTTGGGGGATCAGTCTCTTTCAGTTCCACAGTCAGGACCTTAAGTTCAGGTTAACTCCACCCTAGGCAGTTATGCAATTACTTAAGACATGGTCTGCCATGGGAGCCTGAGGAGGATACACTTTGGAGAATGAACATGGAGTTTGCATTGTTTTTTCTACTACACTATGTTAGGGGGAAAACGGACTCTTGGCATTAGCTAGCCTGAATGTGTTACATGAGACTCACACCGTTGGTGTGGAATTAATTGAAGATTAACGTTTGAGGCCTGAACCCTCAGTTTCTCTTCAGATCTGTACTTTGGTACAGTATTACTCAGGGGTCTGAAATGATAGAATGTAGAAGATATTTGTATTTTAAAAAAAAAGAAGTAGCTTTGTCTTTCTCTGTGCAGTGTTAGTTTAAGATTTATAATCTTATATGTATTGAAACTTTTGGCAAAATTTCCACAGGAGTTAAAAGTTTACTATTTAAAACTGAACAAACAAATCAGTAAATGCAGAGCAGGCACTGTTTGCATTTATGCAGCTTCTCCTTGCTGAAATTCCTTTTTTTTTCATTCTTTAAAAATGTTTCCAGTCTCTAAGCACACTATGTCCATGAGAATATGGAACAGAGTTTTTAATCTTTTACAAGGAGAACCTAATTCAGTAGTTGAGCCAATTAAAAAGCTTTCAGCGGTCACCCCATACCCACCCTGTTTGGATGGAATTAAGCCAGGAAAGCTACATGTCAGGCTATGGTTCTGTGTGGCGTGGAATTAGTTTCTTTCTTTTCTGGGCCTCAAGCAAAGCTTCCTTTAAAAGATACACTGAGTATCAGCTACCTTATACTGACAACACAAAAATCGCTGAAATGGGAAACAGAGCCAGAGAGAGACACAACCATTTTAATCCTTGTGAGGAGTAAAAAAGTGATTCTCTTGTGAGGAGTAAGAAAGATTCCATTAAAGTCTCTGACTCACTAAAATCAGCAGGGGATGTTTGTTCAATATGAACAGTGTAAGTTTCTACAGAGTTCTCACCAATATATTTTAATCAGACTTTTAGAAAATGTTCTAGAACAAACTAAGTCTATTGGAAGTTTATGCTTAAATTGCTCCAGGTCTCATCATTAAACAGTCTCTTTGACATTTTTCTTATTAGCCCATATGTACCCACTTAAAATGGCCATTGTTACTTGAACTGATGTCTTATCTGTGGCCTGAAACTGAGAGGGGGCTGACTAAGCCTGCATTTACTTAGAACAAATAATGTTAACCAACCAGCTTTATTAGCTTGTGATAACAAGGAGTTTACAGTAGTGAAAAGATGGAATGTACTAATCTAAAAACAGTTTGCAGATCTCTTGGTTTTAATAGAGCTACTTATGATGCTTTAAATGTATTTTGAAATGAACAATTCCTTTAAACCCCATGTTTTTTAATTGTCCTTCAAAGAGGATCTGCCTTATGTATTCTTTAAAAATACTCCTTAATTTTAGTACAGCAGAATTTTTGGTAAAGAGGTACGTTCTGAAGCAGGTTGATTTAGATATGAATGTATTTCAATTGTTCCTGTTTTGTTGAAAGGGCCTAATGCAGATGATATCAAGAAACCCACTGTTTGTGCAATATTCCAGTAATATTTACTATATAGAGCAAATAAGATACTTGAAATAATTCCAAAACAGTTGTACCTGGGGCAGATGGCCTCTCAGGGTTTCTTCTGGCTTTATGGCTTCAAAGTCTAAAGCGTGTTTTTTAAAGTAGTAACTTTAGATGCAGGTACTCCACGGCTGCACTCTGAAAAATCAAATAACTGTGATCTCTTAAATACTATTTAACCCTGTGGAAGAGAAAGTGCCGGAAAAAAGCCAAAAAGACCATCACCCCAATGATGGAAAATTCCAAATGACCTGCCTGTTCTTTTCACTGCTTGTATTACTAAGGTCTGGATCTTTTAAAATCACCTTATCAGTATAATTCTTTAGAGAACGTTAGGTCCTTTTCCTTTAAGGATAAAATTGCACAAGCCCAGACACCATGATTTGTTAATACATACCTTGGTGTGTTCAGCTTCAAGCCTTGCCATCCTTTAGAACATTGTGGTATGAATGTGTTTGCTAGGCCTGCATTAATTGATCTATAGACCTGTTGAACCTTGCCATGTAGGACAGTTCACACAGGTTAATACTGAATGTAAACTAAAATTAGAATGAGAATTGTTGTATTCAATTATTTTGGCTGTAATTTATGCAATTGCTTTTTGTGATTTTTAGAAAAGGAGGCACCTGTGTTACTTTATTACTGTAAAATTTTCTTAACCAAAATTTGGTGAATTTCACTAGTTGGTCTACCTCACATTTTGTTTATGATTCTAAACTGTCTTTTAAGTTGTGTCTACAGTATGTTGTCCTTTCATTTAATTTGGTGAATGTATTAAAATTCTTTCCCACCCCCCCCCCAAAAAAGAAAAAGTTTGTTTTCTTTACACTAATTTTCTGGTATGTTCAAAAATGGAATGAGCTCCCTACCACTGGCAATGTCCAAAAAAGACACAGAGTCCACATATCACAGGTTGGATGGCTCTAAGAGTTGACTATTCTCTGGCTTAACAGTCCAAGAAAGTGTTAATACTTGCTGAATGAAAATCTGTAGCTTATACAAAGAAAATACACACATATAAAATATCCACACACCATGCCCATTTGCAGAGTTCCACATTAAGTATGGATGACAGATCTCAAAATGATTTTTAGAGATATTAGAAATACTCAGAGTATATAGATGGCAACTACACTCATTTGGGGTCCTCAGAAGCAGAACTTTGCTTCTGCGAGTTGCAAGAACTGTGTAGTATGACAGAAGGTGTTAATCTCCAATTTATTTCCCAACTACCTACTTTTAAGAATAACTCTGTTAGGGGCGCCTGGGTGGCTCAGTCGTTAAGCATCTGCCTTCGGCTCAGGTCATGGTCCCAGGGTCCTGGGATCGAGCCCCGCATCAGGCTCCGTGCTCGGCGGGAAGCCTGCTTCTCCCTCTCCCACTCCCCCTGCTTGTGTTCCTGCTCTCGCTCTCTCTCTCTCTGTCAAATAAATAAATAAAATCTTTAAAAAAAAAAAAAAAAAAGATGCTCAACCGACTGAGCCACCCAGGCGCTCCAGACATTTTTATAATGAACCAACTATTCAAGGGCAGCTGACAAATTCATAGACATACAATCACAATTATAGAATCACTTCTTTTGAAGTTTGACTGTGGCCATTAGTGTATACTCACTGTGTCCATTACTGCCTCCACCACTCCGAAAAGACTGCTCTTTTTCTAGTGTCATTCTTCAGCCTTCAGTTGCGATGTGATAGCGCTGACCATTCTTGATTTTTAAAACTCTTCTTTTGGTTTCTACCACTCTCTTCTGATCCTCTTACCTCTTCCGAGGTACTCTTCTTTTGAGACTCCTAAATGATGGTGTTCCTCACAACTCTCTCCTATCCTGTCATTTTACAAACCCCATGGTGGGGACATCTCTTCTAAACCTTTGAATAACTACATTAATAAATTTCCTTAGTTCAAACTTCTCCAAACTCTAGATCAACATATCCAATTATATACCAAACAGGTATCTCCACTTGGAGATTCTGCAACCACCTCAAAATCTTTACCAAAATTGAGTTCATCCTTTCTGGTCCAATCCTCCCAACATAATTCTCCAGTATTCCCTTCTCAGTCAATCCATCTATCCAGTTACCCAAATCAAAATTCCAAATTGCCCTAGATTCTTTGCCATGATCCTTGTCCAGCTGGTTATCAGCTCTTTCAATTCTTCAATTCTATCTTCCCCAAGTTTATCTGTCTCCTCATCTCCATCAACACATTAGTTTTAGTTCTTTGTTTCAACATTTTTCACACAGACTGCTACAGTAGTCTCTCAACCTTCTAGGTTCCAGATTCCTCATTTGAGGTGTCATGATAAAATAATGCAGCACTATACAGAAGGCGTGACACACAGCAAACACTCAAAACTTAGAAGTCATTAATACTGTTCTTAGAGAAAAATCTAGACTACAAAAGTTATTTGAGGGGCTCTGTTTTCAATATAAACATGAAAATAATGGTTTTCCTAATAACTGTAACATTTAAACCAACCAATGTATATTCTCTACTCCCAGGTCCCCTTAAAACCACCAAGTTTGGCTCCACAAAGAAGCATACTATGGCTTCTGTGGAAATTGGGTCTGTATTATGCTGTATTATGAAATTAACAGTTACTAGAGCACCTATACTATACCTGAAAATGTCCTCTTTTCAAAAGTTACGCTCCTTGTCAAGCAAATGAGGACACCAAGGATGACGAGAATAGTTTCTAGTCCAAAGGGAAAGGGAGTGTCAAAGTCAGACTATCATGACGAGTCAGAGGGAAATATTTACACCTCTACAAACAGAGTACAGAGCTTTATACCACTCTATAAGTTTAAAAAGCATACACCTATTGGGGGGGGGGGGCGTAAAATACACACCTGCTAATTTAAAGCCCTAAATTTTAGCTGGTTTTTAATGGAGATAGGATTATTTCAGCTCATAAAAATAATCTATGTTAAATGAAGTGGTGCTTCATTCTTGGGCTATGGCTCTTTCTTTCTCTGAAAGACCAGAAAAATTCTCATGTTAGGATTGTGCCTTTTGAAGACCAAGTTCAGAGTTGTTACAGATATACTGGTCCTCTGGCAAAATGGTGAAACTTATAAGAAGCTGGTGTTTTAATTATATTTTAAAGTATCAAACTTAACTCCCTGAAAAAGCACAAATGACAACACACTATTATCACATTTAACACTTAGAAAAAGCTATCAAGTATTTTATTATTTTATTCTACATTATATACAGGTCATAAAAGGCCACAGCAGTTTTTCAACATATAAACCCTTTAAAAGTAGAGGGCACTATGAAGGATTGACAAGTATCAAAATGAAGTCCAGTAACGCGGGCATATACTCAGTGTAGTATTTCTGAGGAATAACAAAGCAGATACCAAGTCATCCATAGTTAGCTTACAACTATTCCATAGGTTTTTATAAACCTCTTTGGGATTTGTTAATAGCCTAAGTGTGCCCAGGTGCCACTTACTTTAAGAAATAAAACCGGAATGAAAGAATAATAAACTTTAGAGGGTACTTTCTAATTCTAGTCACTTTATAGCTCTCCAAGAAGAAAAGCCTCAATTCTTTACCACCTTCCACTTCTTCCTGCATCAAGAATAGGAAAGAAAGAAAGGGAAGAAAATGCTCAATATTCCAAATTCTTCCTGCTTATTTGGAACTATGCCTTTTTGCAGGGGTTCCTTCAAAATGTATTTCAGGCCCTTTAAGAATTAGCTTTGAATTCTTTGACATGCAATATTGCACCCTCCTTGAATAAGAACCAAAAACATTGGTTCCCGCTCTGTAAAAATACAATCTTTAAAACTATAACTGGTATCAGCAGATCAATATAAAAAAATACAGTACCAAGCTACACTGGTATATTTCCATATTAAGAACTTCAAAATATACTTATCACTGAGACCATAGTCCTTGCATTAGTTTTCAGTCCACTATGAACAATTATCTGCTGCATGTAAACATGTCTAAATAACTATAGATAAAATACATCAATCATAAATTTCTGTAAAAGATAATAAAATATCTTCTTTAAAAAACAAAACAATAATAAGCTATTACTGCATTGTTTCCAATTTTATGAAAATGGAACAACCTTACGGTTGTTGCCAGTCCTGAGTTCATTGTAATAAAAATGGCCCTAGTTCCTGGTTAAAGTCAGCAACCAATCCATTCTCTTCAGTAGATGTCTTCTAGTACTGCAGGCACGAATTTGTTTTAGGTGCTATTTTGTCCATTAATAAAATTATATACCAGAAACTGACCAGTGCCACAGTACTGTGTTGCAAATAATTTTCCATCAGGAGTGGGATCTGAGAAAGCAATTTCTTCTTTACTCAAATATGAGCCATATATAAAGTTACTCCTATTAAAAAAGGGAGGGGGTGTGGAAGGGTAAAAAAAAAAAAGAAATTAACATTTTTATCATAAAAACTGGAAAAACCTATCAAGTAAAATTTGACCAGTAAAACTTTTAGGTAATGTTGTATGTTCTAAAAATTGTTGAAAATAATCGCTCATCTAGATTATTAATAACCTGAGGTAAAAAATTTTTATGAAAGTAACAATGGTTTTAAAAAACATTTACCCAACACCTTTCATGATAAAAATACTCAACAATTCTGAGTAGAAGGAACTTCCTCAACCTGATAAAGAGCATTAGGCAACATCAAAATTAATGTGAAAGACTTGAAAACTGTTTCCCAAAGATCAAGAACAAGGAAAGCTATCTGCTTATACCTCTTCTATTCAACAGTGTACTTACTGCAGGCTCCAGCCAGGGTAATTAGACAAGGAAAAGAAAATAAAAAGCAGATTAGGAAGGAAGAAGTAAAACTACCTCTTTCTGGAGACAGTTTTGGATGATCTTGTATATACAAAAATCCTAAGGAATTCACAAAAAAACTATTAGATCTAATTAGAAATGAGTTCAGCAAGGTTGCAGAATACAAGAATATTAAAAAATTAACTGAATTTCTATATACTTGAAATTAACAATCCAAAATGAAATTTTAAAAACAATTCCATTGATAATAACATCAAGAGAATAAATACTCAGGATTAAGTTTAACAAAGAGGTGCAAGATCTGGAAACTTAAATAGAAAGATATGCCATGTTTATGAATCAGAAGAACTACCGCTGGCTTTGCAGAAATTAACAAGCTGGTCCTAAAACTCTCATGAAATTGGAAGAGTCACTGAACAGTCAAAAGAATCTTGAAAAAGAACAAAACTAAAGAACTCACACTTCCTTATTTTGCAACATACTACAAAGCTACAGAACTAAAAGCAGTGTGCTATGGCTAAAGAATAGACGAATAGAACTGAACAGTCCAGATAGAAACCCTTGAAATGAATGATTTTGACATGGTGCCAAGACCATTCAATGGAAAAGAATAGTTTAACAAATGGCACTGGGACAACTGGATATCCACATGAAAAAGAGAACGTTGTCGGATCCCATCTCATATCATACACAAAAATTAACTTAAAATGGATCAAAGACCTAAATGTAAGAACTAAAAGTATGAACTCTTGGAAGAAAATACAGGTATAAATCTTTGTAGCCTTGCATTAAGAAATGGCTTCTTAGGACACCAAAAACACAAGTGACAAAAGAAAAAGATATATAATTTGGAGTTCAAAATTAAAGACCTTTGTGCTTCAAAGGACACCAAGAAGATGAAAAAACAGCTATGAAAAGGTAGAAAATATCTGCAGATCTTAGACCTGATAAGGGACTTGTCTCCAGAATAAAGAACTATTACAGTAAGAAAAAGATAAATTAATTTAACAATGGACATAGGATTTGAATAGGGAGTTCTCTGAAGAACATCCATAAATGGCCAATAAGCACATGAAAAGATGCTCATTAGCCATTAGGAAAATGTAAATCAAATCCAAAATGAAATACCACTTCATACTCACTAGGATGGCTAAAATTAAGAAGACAGACAATAACAAGTGCTGATGAGGATGTGGAGAAATTATAGAACCCTCATACGTTGCTGGTGGGAGTGTAAAATAGTGTAGCTGCTTTGATAATCAGTTTGGCAGGTCCTCAAAATGTTATACACACAGTTACTATATGGCCCAACAATTCTGCTCCTAGGTATACACCAAGAGAAACAAAAACATGCAAATACTTCTCTACTTACCAAGGGAAATAAAAATACACAAAAATTTGTACATGAATGTTCGCAGATTATTCATAATAGCCAAAAAAGTGTAACCAAGCCACCCCCTGTTCATCAACTGACGAATGGATAAATGAAATGTGGTACATCCATACAGTGGGATTTTATCTGGCAATAAAAAAAGGGATGAAGCAGGGGCGCCTGGGTTGCTCAGTTGTTAGGCGTCTGCCTTCGGCTCAGGTCATGGTCCCAGCGTCCTGGGATCGAGCCCAGCATCCGGGCTCCCTGCTCCGCGGGAAGCTTGCTTCTCCCTCTCCCACTCCCCCTGCTTGTGTTCCCTCTCTCGCTATGTCTCTGTCAAATAAATAAGTAAAATCTTAAAAAAAAAAATTTTAAATTTAAAAAAAGGGATGAAGCACACAAATACATACTACAACATGGATGATCTTTGAAAGCATGTTAAGTAAAAGAAACCAGTCAAAAAGGTCATATATTATAGGAATCCATTTATATGAAATGTTCAGAATAGGAAAATCCATTCAGATAGAAAGTAGATTAGTGATTGCCAGAAGCTGGGGGAGAGGGAAATGGGGAGTGACTGCTAATGGGTATGGGTTTTGGGGGGACAGTGACGGAAATGTTCTGGAATTAGATAGTGGTGATGGTTGCACAGCCTTCTGAATATATTAAAACCCACTGAATTGTATAATTTAAAGAGATGAGTTTTATGCTATGTAACTGTATCTCAATAAAGCTGTTATTTAAAAGTTTTTCTTCAATTTAGCCAGGATACAGACTATTAGAATTTTCACACTATAATCTTAACAAGGTGAGCTAGGTACATAAGAAAGAACAATAAATGAAAAAAGTAGAAACTCTTCATGAGTTTTAACAGGAAGCTTATGGGGGCATCTCACTATCACACAGAACAAATGCAATGGCTAGACTGTGTAATGTTTTTATAAACTAGAACCATCTTAGGGTTGTCATAAGACCTAAATTTACAAGATTTAAAGGAGGTGCAATACCCTCATATTTAGGACTATTATTTAAACAGCTGCATTTTCCAGGTTTAGTTTTGAAAGAGCTAAAAACAGACCTGCCTCTTGTCATGAAAAGGGCGGGTAGACCTGAGCCCTCCTGGATCACTACTTACAATAAAATAAGAGGGAAAGACCAGAAACACATTAAGGTTCTAAGATTCCTAGAGCCTTAGGATCTCACAACAATGATGGACTACTTTGAAAGCTAAACCTACAGATAACAGCAGACAGGGATTCCAGAAATAAACAAAAACATGAGACTGGCGTAAAAACCTCATCTGTGTGATTAATTTGAACCTCCATTAATCCTCTGGCAAAAGTGCTTTAAAGAACAAAAAACAAAACATGCAATTTATCTGAGTCTTTTCCTCTATACCTTTAATTTAAAATCAAGCAATAAAAATAGCAAAAAGAAAAACTAGTAGGAGACTTAGATAATTTACAAATAATATTCTTAATTTAAGACAAATTTTTCTAAAAGCAATTTTAAATTCCAAATTCCCACATTTATTTGGTTATCTTTAAAATTCTCCAATATTGAACAGTTTGAAATAAGTGGGTTATTTTGGCCTAATATCATAGTTACAAGTAAGTAAAAATAGTTTAACAGTATTTAACTGATAGTGCTTTCTCTCCCCTCAGATTAACTTCACATAAAAAACAAAGATCCAATACACTGACAATCTTATGCAAATTTTAAATTAAGATAAATGTTATAGATTTAAGATTAAATGCCAATCTTAATACTAAAAATCTGCTTAAATCTTAAAACTACAGAAAACGACTTGAAGAATCACATTCAAGTTACCTTAGGCATTCAATCATGCGAGAAGCAATTTTCTTCCGACGCATCATGCTGAATACCCATATCCGACTGATTCCACAGATTGCAGGCTCTGGCAATGTTGAACAGCACCAGGCTTTTTGCCTTTCAAATCTGACTTTTTCTTCCTCTGACCTGATAACTGGATGTTTCTCTTCTATAACTCTGTAGCCCTAAGGTATCAAAATTAGAGGGAAAAATTTAAAGTGAGAATATTAATTAGCAATTGTCTAGTACTGACCTTAGTGAGGAGGCTGCTACATTTGTCTGGCTTAACAAACTATGGGGGCCACTTATGCTTTCGCTCCCACTTTAGGAAACAGATCTGAATCTACATTCTGTTCTAATTCACTTACTAGTTATGTGACCACAAAAGCAGTTAACAAATTAAGATTTGGGTTCCTTATCTATAAACTAGAGATATCTACCACTTCTGTCAGAAAATTGTAGAGAAATTAAATAAGGTAATACATATAAAATACCTTGCCCATCATGGCTGGTCCATAATGGCATCTGTTATTTTTTTCTCTACCTCCCACATTCTAAGGACAAGCAAAAGTACATGTCAAGAACTCAGCAGTCATAACAACTGTTTCTGCGATTACTGCCATAGTTCTAGGGTTCATAGCTGTGCAGGAACTAGGACTAGGGATGGCAGAAAAATCAAAAATTCAAAAAGCTGCTTTCCCCACATTTCCATCTCTTTAAAAAAAAAAAAAAAAAACTAAGGTGCTTTAAAAAATATAGTATCTCCTCTACCAGTCTAGCTGGACAACAGCCAGCCTTCTAACGGAACATGGTACAAATCTTAATTAGACAATACAATGAAGAATTAACAAACAAACATTACACAGCTACCTTCTAAACATTGCAAAAGTGATTTTTGGAACTAGGCAGAATAGAAATTAAAAAAAACACAAAGGTATACACTATGTAAAATCAACTCAATTTCAATATGGCAAACTCTATAAGTCATTTTATATCAAATTTCTATCCCCAAATTACCTTATCACAGCTATTCATTTAAATCAATTTTGTTAATATAAATAGCAAGATTCACAAAGCCATGCAATTTAAGACTGATTTTTTAAATTAACATATAGAAATTAACTCCTAAAGACTTGTATTGACTTTTTATAAGAAAATTTTTATGATAAAACACGTTTGCAGGAAATTATTAATATACAGAAAGATACCAACTGAACAAAAGTCAAATCCAATGTGCACTGAATTCACAAACAAGAACTCAGCTGAAAAAAGAATTCAAATGAGGTATTCCTCAAAATGAGCATGATTAGAGAGTCTAGAATCTTCTGTTCTCATAAGTTGGTCAGTTACTACATAACTTACACAATGTGAATATATCCCTTTTATTGTGATTCTTTTATTTTTTGTACAATTTGGCTCCTAAATACAAGTCATCTTCTCACCTAGAGCTCAAGCAAAGAAGTGGTGATCTATTGGGGGGGTGGGCAACTTTTTATAAAGAACCAGATAGTATTTAGGCTCTGCAGCCCACCAGGTTTCTGTTGCAACTACTCAATTCAGTCTAGTGTGAACCAGCCAGAGACAATATGTAAGCAAATGGGCATTGTTTATATTATATTGTATTTAAATTATATTGTAATTATAATGAAATTTTATTTAAAAAAACAGGCTGGATTTTGCCCTTGGGCAATAGTTTGCCAACCTCTGCTTTTATTCCAATGCTGAAGGAATGGAGACAAACATTACATTAGTACCCAACATGGAAACTTCCTAAACAAAATTTAACAGTACTTTTTGATTTATAGAATTTTTATTTTATATTAGACTTGAGAAACTAATTCCCATAAAAGATACAATTCTGCTTAGTAAAAACTTACACACGGCAATTCCAACATTCACATGCTTCCCTGTATAAAATGTAAATTTACCAGGATTGTGTTATTCAAGATTACACAGTAAACTCGTTAGACACCAAATTACAAATCAGAACACTCTTTAAAAGTCACTTACCCACTGGATATGTTCTGCAATTAGGCAGCCAACTACTTTTTTGTCATTAGAAATAAAGAGAAGTGTTTTAGTTCTGGAATAGCACATTAGTGGGGCCTGTTGGAAACCTAAATCATTATCAACCATCTCTCTAATCTCGTCAACCTGCCAAATAAAGAACAGTATTTTTTGTAACAATGAAAGGAAGCATTGTATACATGTTAAAACATACTATTTCAGTTCAGTAAGTTGAGTATATTATTCCAAGCAGTATATCGCCTACAGAAGAGCTCTTTGCAATGATTATGCTGACCAGTAAATGTTTCTCAAGGCCTGTGGAACAACGTGCAAAATGGGGAAAGAACTGGACAGTAATGCCAAGCCCAGCAGTCCAAATAACAAGAACAGTGAGAGCTCCTACAACAGACAGTAAGAACATTAAAGCATTAGAAGCATTATTGGTTTAAGAATTGAAGAGAATTTCACTGGAATCTTAGCCAGGCAAGCACTTGTCTTCCCAAGCCTTAATTAGTACTCTCATCAGTAAAATGGAAGTGGTACTATGCAAAGCACTTTATAAATATTATCTTATTTAAATCCAACATCTCTTGGGTCTATGGTCCCTCACTTTATATATGCAAGAAAGAAAGTTCAAAGGTAACTTTCCCATGTCAGATATTGGACATCTAGAAAAACAAAGAGCAGAGATAATGCTAATATGGCATCAAACTGTGCTTCTTCTAGTCTACCTCCTAGAACTGTGGTCAAGGTCAAATATGATAAGCTCGAGCTTCTGGAGGCTCAAAGTCAAAGGTTTCTGTAGGTAATCAATCATTAGTTCCTTCTCCAGTTAAAAAATAAAATGCTAATATTCAGTCCAACATTCATTCGTATTACTAAGTTTAAAATTAAAATAACCCCTCGGAGGATTAAGTATTCATATCTCTGACATGCAGAATACCATGTTCAGGGATGAAAACTCAAGTCCTCCTAATCCTGGAACAGTGTCCCATAACACAACTCACAATTCAGTTCCTAAAAGCAAATGACTCACAATTCCTTAGATTTTAATTTTTAACCCACTATGGATTACTAACTAGTAACATACTACACTGTTATTAAGATTTTGCCCTAAGAAACTAAAATGAGGAAGTTAGCATTTACTGAAGATTTAGTTAAGGAAAGTCTGAATGCCACATATGGTGGTGCAGCAAAGTTCCCACTGTTCATTTCCAATGGTAATAGTTGGAATTCCAAAAATTACATAATTTAATTTTCATTTAGTCAATCACTAATCCAGTATTAATTAACAAGTATTTGTTTTTGTGACAAGGATCAATGTTTCAAATACAAGACAGGTTGGCATGGTTACATGTCATTCTAAATGTTATTGTCTGTATTATTAGGCAGTGGTAATATGGGGGCTTATTTGGTTATCTGGGATTGTCCAGTCATACATAATACAAGGCATGGGAAAAGTCAAAAACCACAAGATAAAGTAGAATGTTAGTTATATTTTCAAATAATAGGGTCACCCTTTCAAGTGAAGTTTTCCTAAATTTAAAGAGGTCCAATTGTTAACCTAAAAAAAAGAACAATAAATAAAACATTTCCCTTGTGTTTCCTAGACATTTTGGACACACTCTAGTGAAACTAAGTTTTTCTTTTTCTTTTTTTTTTTTTTAAAGATTTTATTTATTCATTCATGAGAGACAGAGAGAGAGAGAGAGAGGCAGAGGGAGAAGCAGGCTCCCAAGGAGCAGGGAGCCCGATGCGGGACTCGATCCCAGGACCCTGGGATCATGACCTGAGCCGAAGGCAGACGCTTAACCATCTGAGCCACCCAGGCGCCCGAAACTAAGTTTTTCAAAAGACAACTGGACCCACCGCTTTACATTATAAGGTACTTCTGAAAAAGCAGATGGAGGGTGAAGAAAACATTTTGAGCATATTATTTGAAAATGTAATTAATATTAAGTCATTTCAAAATAAGTTTATCCTATGGTTTCCTGCCTTTTAAGATACCCAATATAATAAAATGAATCCAGACTTCACCATCTCTCTGAACCCTCAAAGTATGGAAATCTAAAAGCTGGACTAAGCCTGGCTCACACCAGATAAGAGGATTTCTTTAACATTTTATGATTACCTCATGTTTAATTTCAGAATTTCTATGACTTTTTGAAAAAGATTTATTTATTTATGAGAGAGAAAGAGCAGAGCAGTGGGGGGAGGGACAGAGGGAGAGAGAGTCTCATGGGAGACTCCCAGCAGAGCCCAACATGGGGCTCGATCTCATGACCCTGAGATCACAACCTGAGCCGAAACCAAGAGTCAGATGCTTAACCGACTGTGACACCCAGGTGACCCTCTATGACCTATTATTTTATCTTCTTCTACAATAAGCTTTTATTTAAAAATTTACCCTCAACATGAAACTTTACAATTGCTAATTTTCTAAGTTATTGTCAAATTTTAATTATAATTCTGATTCTTTTTTAATGAAAGTAATACTTTTTTCAAATTTTTAACTAATAGATTTATTTATTTATTTTAGAGGAAGAGAGCACAAGCAGGGGGAGGGGTACAGGGAGAGGGAGAGAGAAGCCCAAGCAGACTCTACACTGAGCAAGGAGCCCAACGTGGGGCTCAACGCAGGGCTTGATCTCACAACCCTGAGATCATGACCCTAAGATCATGACCTGAGACAAAATCAAGAGTAGGACGCTTAACCAACTGAACCACCCAGGCACACCCCCAAGTTTTTTATTTATTTAAGTAATCTATGCCCTATGTGGGACTCGAACTCACAACCCTGAGATCAAGAGTAACAAGATCTTGCAACTGAGCAGCCAGGTGCCCCTGTAATTCTGACTCTTAAAGTCACTAATGTGGCATTATAAACTAGCATGCCTTCTATTCCATCACTCAAATTACTGATAACATGGGACAGTAATCACTAAAAATTTATTTCACATATCCTAGACACATAAGTTTAAGCATAATTTTTAAGTATATTCTTTAAATGCTTATTTGTTTTCAGAGCTGGTGCTTAAACATGCTATGCCAGTAATGCGCTATCCTGTTAAGATGACTACAAAATTACATTATCTACGGGCACCTGGGTGGCTCAGTTGGTTAAGTACCTGCCATAGGTTTGGGTCGTGATCTCGGGGTCCTGGGATTGAGCCCCTTGTCGGGCTCCCTGCTCAGTGGGGAGCCTGCTTCTCCCTCTCCCTCTTCTCCTCCCCCACTCTCTCAAAAAATTAGACATTATCCATTCTACATGAAATTTCACTGGACATTTACCTTTTTCAGAGCATACTTTGGGTCTTCAGGAAGAACCATTATTATCCTGCCATCAGGATATTCAGCCAAAATTCTTTCTTTTTTCCAACCCTAGATATAAAAAATATGAATGAATTTTATGTTATATTTCATTAATCAGATTCACATATAAGAAGAAAAATATATTGATGTATCTAAAAATTGCAAGTATGGAAAAATATTCTCATTAATGTTTAACTGATAAGATATGATGAATCAGCTATTTTGTTAAGCATACAGTGGGTACAATGCAAACTAATTCCTCTATACTACTCATTCAGTAATCTAATACCACAAGAATATTCTTAATTTATCATTTCCCATTTTAAATTAATTTTGAAAATCACGCACCAAAAGCAAGCCCCTTAAAAGTCAGTGATTCCCAGAGCCTAAAAGATAATTCTCCCATTTCTTGATAAAAGAATTTAACTCTTAAATTTCTTTGGAACATGGTTACCTCCACAAACAAACACTCATGGTTTTATGTCTGGCATGCCAAAGACCTCCAGGAGGTTTTAAATGAACTGATTTGCATGCAGTAGCCCAGTATGTAGTAAGGAATAGTTTTTATTCTTATTGATCACAACTATCAAAGTCACAAGAAGGAGACTATAAAAATATAACTACCTTCTAAGAATCTAATAGGGAAGGAGAAGCTACGTTGTGTGTATCTGAAGTTAAACATACTCAAAAAAAGAGAGGTAATAAACTCTTCTTCAGATCCACACTCGTGGTGATTAATGAGCAGAACCTGCATGAAAAACAAAACAAAACAAAAGCCACTTAAATCTAGTAAGATGGGACTGAACCAGAGGTTAAAACTAGGAGCTTTGAAGTTAATAATAAGTACAGAAGGAATGAGCTTAACTGGTTGTTTCATTTGTCTTACCCAACCAACTTTACATTAAAAAAAAAAAAGAAAAAGGGCCTCTCAAGAAGGAATACGTACTTCTACTAGAGAAAACCATGATCTTCTGAGATCTTTTAAGACAACGAAAGCTCAATAAAACCAAGAAAAAAGTAACTACATTTTTAAAAAATATTATGGCAAGTCAGAGAAGAGGCTGATCTTCTTAAACAATTCAGAATGATTTTTTGAGGAGAGGGGCAGGATCTTGGGGACAAAAAGTCTAGTAATAAGCTTAGTAAATGTAACAATCTGAAGTATTTAAAATGAGAATTCATTTAAAAAATAGAGCACCCAAAGATAAAGTAAGCTTCAGGTGATTATAATTATGATTGGTTAAAAAAGTTCTCAAGATTTGAAGAGGAGCAGAACAACAGCCACAGAAGTCATTTTTTTTTTCAATTTAGAAATTAAATCTGAATTTAAGTACACAATTTTTAAAACATATAAAAGATATCACCTCTTTAAAAACAAATTTATATTACTATGTTAATTTGGGAAACACTTAAAATGAATCCATTTTCAATAAAATGAAAATGGAGACTTTTAGTTTTAAAAGTTGAACTACAAACTCAATGAAGAACTAGAAAATTTAAGTAACCCTCACTTTTATAAGAAAGTCATAGGTCGGGGGAGCCTGGGTGGCTCAGTCGTTAAGTGTCTGCCTTCGGCTCAGGTCATTCCAGGGATTGAGCCCCGCATCGGGCTCCCTGCTCAGTGGGGAGCCTGCTTCTCCCTCTCCCCCTGCTTGTGTTCTCTCTCAAATAAATAAATAAAATCTTAAAAAAAAAAAGTCATAGGGGCGCCTGGGTGGCTCAGTCGTTAAGTGTCTGCCTTCGGCTCAGGTCATGATCCCAGAGTCCTGGGATGGAGCCCCGCATCGGGCTCCCTGCTCCGCAGGAAGCCTGCTTCTCCCTCCCCCATTCCCTCTGCTTGTGTTCCTCCCTCTGTCGCTGTGTCTCTCTCTGTCAAATAAATAAATAAAATCTTAAAAAAAAAAAAAAAGTCATAGTTCCTCAGCTGAATTATCTAAAGAAAATTTGGTAAGTTATTTTCCTATTATCTTTAAAAAGAAAAATGCTGGTCTAATGTCATTATATTGCACTAGAGGCACTAAAGAAATTATTTTGTTTTACTATCTTTTTAGTATTAAACTTTCTCTTGAAACAACTTGACACTTGCACATTCATACAGAAAATGTGACATAATTTTATGTTTTAAATATGGGTCTGTTTCTTCATGTACTTAAAAGCAGCAGGATTTTGCAAAGGGCAGATTATGATTTTTTAAGTTTCATGAAGACAGCATATTTTAGTGAAAACTATTTAAGAGTTCTGGAGTAAAAGTTCAGGGTTTAGGGGCACCTGGGTGGCTCAGTCAAGTGAGCAACTGCCTTCGGCTCAGGTCATGATCCCAGGGTCTGGGATCCAGCCCCGCATCGGGCTCCCTGCTCAACAAGGAGCCTGCTTCTCCCTCTCCCTCTGCCTGCTGCTCCACCTGCTTGTGGTCTCTCTGTCAAATAAATAAATAAAAATCTTTAAAAAATTTTTTTCAGGGTTTAAAGCCTTGTTTTGTTGTTACTAGCTATATGACCTTGCACAAATTACAAACTCTGTTTCCTGATCTAGGCTATGTACAAAATGGCTGTCATCACCTCCATCACTTAGTTGTTAAGAGGGCTGTATTTAATTCCTCACACAGAGTAGCCACTCAGTAACTTCCATTCTACCTTCCTAATGATATCAAACTAAGATCAGTGCACTACTCTAAGAAAACACAAGTTAATTAATAAAGTCCCCGAAGTTAAATACAACATCATGGACAGATGAAAGAAGCATGCTGGCTCATGTCTGTAAAATAACATACTCAAGACATTTATATGCCTCAACTGCAGTTATCTCTTTCTTGGGAGTTAATAACCACACGATCCTCCCAACTTTAAAAAGTTTAGAGGAGACTATCTGCTGCTTGAAACTAAGGCAGAGGGGAAGGTTGTGGGGGAAGGGCACATACAATTTAGAGGAATAATCAAACAGCCACAGCTTTCTGCAAAGATATAAATTCCAATGCAGTGCATTTACACTTCTCGCCTTTAGCTCTAACATGTTACACACATCCCTCTGCTAGTGAGTAGTGTTTTCCAAACCCCAAATTTTCTTAATTCACCCATCTGGCTGTGAAAGCTTTATATTCCTAAGAGCAATCAATGATTATTTGTTGTTCCTTGCCACTGTACTTACTCTAAACTTTAGAATCTATAGAATCTAAAGAATGGAAAGGATTTCTCCTCTCTTTCCATTTAAAAAAGGTATTAATTGAAAACAAAATACATTAAGTGGCAGATACACTGATGTATACAATTGTCAAAATTCACTGACCAAACATTTAAGATCTGTGCATTTAACTGTATGCAAATTATACCCCAATTTTTAAAGTTCATACTAATCACTTTCATAAAAGGCTGAATGAGAATACCCATGAAAGAATACCCTGAGAAATAAAACAACCAGCTTTTTAAAAAATTACCAATATTCAAGAAAAAAGACAAAGAGGGAGAACCTTTAGATTAAAAGAGACTTAAGAGATATGCCAACAAATGCAATATACAGATCTTAATTCAAACAAATAAACAGTATAGAAATTATATTTGGAGAGCTTTGAACCCTAAGGAAATATCTGATATTAAGGAATTAACTAATTTTTTTAAGGTGTGGTTATATCCTTTAAATAACTTTTATGTAAAAAACAATAATCTTTTCATCTTTTAAATCTGAGTGATTTAGTTTTTTTTCCTTTTAGCTTATCTGTATTTCCTAGTTATTCTACTTTAATAAAATGGTATAATAAAGGTATTAAAATACTTAACTATCCCAAGCAGCTGGTTTTAAGTGCATGTTTGGACCTTTTTTTTGCAAACATAATCGTATATTGTCAGCATAACTGATAAAGAGAGGCTGACTCAGTGTGACCTTCACTGAACTTTAAAAGTATGATTAAGTCGAGGGAAATGGGTGGCTCAGTCGGTTAAGCATCTGCCTTCAGCTCGGGTCGTGATCCCAGGGTCTTGGGATGGAGTCCCGCATCGGGCTCCCTGCTCAGCGGGGAGCCTGCTTCTCTCTCTGCCCTCTGCCTGTCACTTCCCCCTACTTGTGCTCTGTCAAATAAATAAAAATCTTAAAAAAAAAAAAAAAAGTATGAAAAGTTGAGTAATTAGATGGAAAAATTCAGTCAATTCAAGAAATATGTACTGACCACCTACCATGTGTGCACACCACTGATCTAGGCAGCATACAAAGCAATAAAGAAGACTTTAAAAATCAGTAAGACCGAGATTCAAATCCAGACTCTGCTACTTACTAGCTGTGTTGCCTTGGGCCAATTACTTAACCTCTCTAAACCTTGGTTTCCTCACCTATAAAATGGATATAAAAACAGACATTTTTCCAAAGAAGACATCCAAATGGCCAACAGACACATGAAAAAGTGCTCAACATCGCTCGGCATCAGGGAAATCCGAATCACAATGCGATACCACCTCACACCAGTCAGAATGGCTAAAATTAACAAGTCAAGAAACAACAGATGTTGGCGGGGATGTGGAGAAAGGGGAACCCTCCTACACTGTT